TGTGCTTGTGATATGTTGTAAAATGTTGTATGTCTGTTAATGTTTCCCTCCTTTTATCTTTAAAATAAAAAAAAAAAACAGATTTTATATTTTTACAGATTTTAGAATATCTGAATATATATAATGAAATATCTTAGGGATGAGATCCAAGTTTAAACACTAAATTCAATTATGTTTAATGTATACCTCATACACATAGCCTGAAAGTGATTTTATACAGTGTTTTTAGTGTACCTTTGTTTTTCATTTCTTTTTTTTTTTTTTTTTTGGTCTTTTTGAGACAAGGTCTCACTATGCAGTTCAGGCTGGGCTTGAGCTCACTTTGTAGCCCAGGCTGGTCTCAAACTCGCAAAGATCCTCCTGATCCTCCTGCCTCAGCCTCCCGAGTGCTGGGATTACAGGCGTGGGCCACCACACCCGGCCCTGCACCTATGTTTTGAATGAAACATCACAAAAGATCACACCTGGAATTCCTCATTTGTGGCATCATGTCAGCTCTCAAAGTCTCCAATTTTGGATTTCAGACTAGAGATGCTCTAATTTCAGATTAGAGAGCTGAGATTAGAGATTTCAAATTAGAGATTTCAGATTAGAGATGCTCGACCTACATATAAATGATAGCTGTTATTATGAACAGTAATAGCTCAAAATAACCTGTACAGGGAAAAATTTGAAATTTATGTTAGAAATGTCCCCTAAAATAAAACCATATTTATTTTAGAACCAAAAAATTATATATAATGATCAATGTTGTTGAATTAGGAAAATGAGATGCATAATTGAGAAGTTCCTCACTGTGTACTAGTTCTTTAAATATTCAGTAAGATACAGACTTTACAGAAATAACTTACTCCTATTTTCATTACAGAACTTGAAAAGTGGCATGTATTACTTCAAGTAACTTGAAATAAGCAGAAAGTCACTAATCTGAGGCTGTCTTTACACTCTTGAGTTCCACCAAAAACTAACTCTGTGTGTATACAAACTGAAACCTAATTTAGGAGTGTATTTTTTATAACAAATAGCTGCATTTCAGCCAATCACAGGCAGCCAGTGATCAGACAGTGCCTAAACTTGGAACCAGCGATAAAATGAGCCTAAAATATATTTCCCTATATGATTTAGACAAAATAAGGAAGCCTATAGGGGCAGAAAATACATTTGTGACGGTCTAGGACTGGGGAAGAATGGGAATGCCTAGTGGGCTTAGAGTTTCTTTGGGGGTGACAAAATGTCCTAAAATTTGATTATGACAGTAGGAACACAACTCTAAGAATATACTAAAAACTCAATTATATACTTTTTTTTAAGTTTTTTGGGACAGAGTCTCAATGTGTAGTTCAGGGTGGTCTTCAACTCACTATATAGCCCAGGTTGGCCTCGAACTCACAGTGACCCTCCTGCCTTAGCCTCCCTAGTGCTGGGATTAAAGGCGTGTGCCACCGTGCCCAGCAGAACTGAGTACTTTGTATGGTATGTACATTACATCTCAACAGAGCAGTTTTTGAAAAGTACTTCCCTTCTGGCAGACTTTATACTAGAACTGTGAGAGTGCTCTATTAGGTGTTTTTTTTTTTGGTTTGGGTTTTGTGCTGGGGATTGAACCTGGTGCTGTTACAGGCAGCTGAGTTAGACAGAAATATTATAGGCAGTTAGACAACGCCAGGCCCTGGAAGGAGCCAACATGAAACACAAGATTAGATACCTGTGGGCCAGACCTCAAGACAAAGGACTAAACAAATGCACCACATACCTCCCTAGGTGTCAGCATAATGGATTGATATTCTAAATAGGTAGCAACCACCTTCAAAAAGCAGAAAGAGTCACTAGCCCAACCCCCTATGGGAAAGGCCCCTGTTCTGTATGAATGCCCGCTTGCTACTTGACTTACTTCCCCATTTGATCCCAGTTCACTCAATTTCACCTCAACAATTATACTTGTAAGCTTACTGGCTGACCACAGTTTTGTCCCACCTCATGCCCGCCTTGTAATTTCCTATTTTCCCCCTGTCTTGGACCTACCTCACCTCGGGGTTTTGCTCTATAAAGTCCCTGGGAAGGGAAAGGTCCTTGGCAACCCACTCGGGCCCCCTTCTATCCCTCTCTTGGACAGAAGCTTTCTTTCCCTCAATAAATATATTTTGCTCTTAACCTCCATTGTTCCTAAAATTCATTCTTTGATTTTGGAGAACAGGAACTCGTCCCAGATATCGTTCAGGTTGGGAGTTTTTATTTTCCTGTATCAGTACCTTCTATATGCCTAGTACGTGTGCTACCACTGAGCTGGGGCTCTAGTCCTTTATTTTACCTAGTTTTCATTAGATAAAAATCACACATTTTAGATATTTGGGGCGAGTAATGTTATTGAAACATTAGCCAACCACACTGAACTCTTCTTTTTCTTTCTTTTTTTTTTCTTTTGCGGTACCGGGGATCGAACTCATGACCTTGCACCTGCCAAGTAGGCACTTATGCCACTGAGCTGTATCCCTAGCCCCCACACTGAACTCTTGAACTCTCGTTTCTCTTGTGCAAAGTCGAAGACACAGAAAGGACAAAGATCTTCCACAGATCTTATACACTTAGCAAATTAGAGACTGAGGGCATACTGTCAAAAGTATTTCAAAGTCAGCTATAAGGTCAGACCAGAGACTGGCAGAGATTCCAGAGGAACACGCTGTCCCCGATACTGACTCCTAGATGTGGAGTGAGGGAACAGCGAGAGAAACAGGGTCTTCCAAGGCCTCCAGAGACAATGCTGAGACTGGGTTCTATGTTTCAACCTGGTGTGGGTGAAAAGCTGGGCAGCTGGCGCAGCCATAGTACTCAGGATGGTGTGGTGAAGGCACATCTCCTGCATCAACTGTTTGGGCACAAAGATACCCGTGCCCTTAAAAACTCTCCTTGTAGTAATAACTGAAAAATTATAGGCTGGGGCTGGGGATGTAGCTCAGTGGTAGAGTGCTTGCCTAGCATGCACAAAGCCCTGAGTTCAATTCCCAGTAGCACAAAAAAGAAAAGAAAAGAAAAATTATAGGCTAGGGTTGGAGAAAACAGACGTCAGTGGAAAGAAAGATACTGGAACCCACAGCCCTTATCCCAAATCATTGAGCAAGATACGCTTTGGAATTTCGAATTTTTCCAATTAAGAATAGTAACACAAAGCATATGTATTACACAGCACCCCTAGCTGGATCTGGAACAGCATCCTATAATCAAATACATACAAATTCATTCCTGTAATACAACACTTGACTACTGACACTAAATGTGATAAAGACCATAATGAGCCTCTTGTCAGTTCTGGCCAGGTTTTGCTGCCAAATTGGTTATGAAAAGTTTAATTTTTTCCCAGCATTTTGTGGATTTCAGAATTGTGTATAAGGGTACTGACTATAGGCCTGATCTGCTTCCTCACTCCCCAACTGCCAGGAAATGGGCCTCCTGTGTAAAAGCCTGGCTGTGCAGGGAAAGGAGCCAGAAACTGTAGAGATGGCTGGGAGTCACGGCTTTGTCAGTGGCTAGGACTCCCACCAGGGCCCTTCTACTGCACAATGACAGGCCGTGTCAACAAGCAGTAACCCTGCTCAGGGGCGAACAGCGTCCAGCTAATTCAGTAAGTACACTACATTTTATTCCAGGTGGACTTAACAGACTTAACTAGATACAAAAGACATATGAAGCTACCCTATAAAATAAAGGAGGAACACATACTTACTCTGGGTAACATATGCCCCAAACAGAATCCACATGGAAGCAATAAGTGACCCGAACATCAACATGAAACCAATGAAGAGCCAAACTCGAGCACCTGTGTGAAGAAGAGGCTTTGTGATTTTGCTCAGTTCTGCAGTTCCATGACGACGCTGGGAACAGTGTTTGCCTAACATATAGCATGTATGTCAAAGACAGCCACGTATTTATATAGTCTGCTATTACAGTTAACTGAATGAAGATCAAAAAAACCCAAAAGGAGTTCAACCATTATCTGGACAGGGGAAAAGAAGGAAATTACCTTTTACTGGCTGAAGAAACTAATACCCGAGTAGACAACCTTCACTGGTAATTATTTAACTAAACTGGTTCATTAAACCTTAACTGTTGTTACACATATTATCAAAATAACTGCTCTGTAGAGAGCACCAAATGTGCTCTAGTCATTATCAGGCAGGAAAAGGAGATTTCAGATGCACAAGGACTAATCAGTGGTGAGCCCTGCAATCACACTACTGCTCAATACGGTATAAACAGGGCCATTCCTCTTAAGAACAGTCCGACTTTTATAGCTGAAGCAGCCAACCCATACCACATACCCTTGAAAAGGTCAAGGGCAGAAGTATCTCTTCAACCCTAGAGTGTCAAGGATTCTAGACTCTCAGTAATGCAACCATCTAGGCCCTGAAGCAGATTAAACACATCTTTAGGAAAGTAGACTAATACTTGTATCAGACCCTTTCACAGGCATAGTGATGGCCATCACTACAGAAAAGGAATAAAGGTCTGCTGATGTGAAAATAAAACCCTAGCCAATTTCCACAGCAGAAAATGAAATGTGCCTCAATTGCAGATATTCTGGTTTAGGGTTTTTGTTTTTTGAGACAGAGTCTCACTATGTAGCTCAGGCTGGCCTTGCACTCACGGCCATCCTCCTGGCTCGGCCTCCCTAGTGCTGGTATTTACACGAGTGCACCACCATGTCTGGCCTCTTACTAATAGAATTAAACAAGAAAAACATTTATCTTGAAAAAAAGAGAATGCTCTTGTTTGGAAAAGAAAAATGAAGCTAACATTTTTCCTGTTTTGCTTTGGTGGCCAGGAAGCTCAGATATAAAATAACTGAACAGTTAAAAGGATGTATCTTGTACTAGATTCTGTGTACAATTATTTTTTTCACCCAGATCCTATATCTTTTTACAGATTTATTACATAAGATATCATTTACTGTGTATTTACAATTTTGAGACTTTCCTACAAGTTCCTCTTGGAATTAAATGGAGACAGTTTACAAATCAGTTATGTAAATATATGAAAGCTTAGTGAGGCAATGCCTAAACTGGACTATAAGATATTTCCTTCTTCACTTCTGAAACCCTAGACAGAACTTGCACTATGCACCTCACATAAACATAAATGTGTATTTTAACTGGGTGGGAACACTCATGAAATAAAATGTAACCATCAGAGTAAAGGTAAAAAGTTTGAGAACCAAACAGCATGGTGGCACACACCTGTAATTCCAGCACTCAGAGGGCTAAGGCAGAAGGCTTGCCGTGAGTCTGAGGTCAGCCTGGGCTACACACTGAATTCCAGGCCAGCCTGAATTGAACTGCACAGCAAGACACTATCTCAAAAAACCAAAATAAATTAAAAAGGATAGGAACCAAAGGCAAAGATGAATTCCATCTTTACTCACTTTCTTTTCTTTTATGAGACAGGGTCATGCTATGTAGCCTAGGCTGGCCTCAAACTCACAATAATCCTCCTGCCTCACCCTCCCCCCAGTGCTGGGATTATAAGCATGTGCCACCGCAGCCAGCTACTTTCTATAAATAATAAATAACAGGAACAACCCACAGCAATGTCTGTGAGATATTCAACCAAAAGCCTGATCAAATAAATTACTGTGGTCTCTATACACACTTTCACTTGCTAATTCCTGCTACTTTTGTCTTATTTACCCTCTCTTGTTCCTGACATTACTACTGGGGCTAGGGTACAGGACATATGAAAAACTAAGCACACCTACACATGTGCACACGCATGCACGCGCACACAAAAGTACTGTGCACTTCAACCACAGACTCATTTGTCACTGTCACTATATATCCTCCTTCTCAATTCTCCCAGTAGAGGTGAGGTTATAAAGCATTAAGTAGAAAAGAAAACTGGGCCGGGCATGGTGGCTCACGCCTGTAATCCCAGCACTCAGGAGGCTGAGGCAGGAGGATCACTGCGAGTTCAAGACCAGCCTAGGCTACAAAGTGAGCTCAAGGCCAGCCTGAACTACACAGCGAGACCCTGTCTCAAAAAGACAAAAAAAAAAAGAGAGAGAAAGAAAACTGTTTTTCACAGCTCCTTTATTTTATTTAAAATGCTGTAATACTTAGAGATCTAGTGTCACAATCGGTTAGCACACAGTACTTACACAAAATGTTATGATACTAACTGTACAATGCCATCTCTATAGAATTATAGAAAAGACAGAACTATGGTGATAAAAGGCAGCTGGGTGGTGGCTAGGAGGTCAGAAAAGGAGATTAACCCAAAAGGGTAGAAGGACGCTCTGAGAGAAATGGACATGTTCTACAAGCATCTGTTAGAATGCACCAAAATGTACACTTTAAATCTGTGCCTTTTACTGTACACGAATTTTACCCAGTTAAGGTGCCCAAAACAAAGAGGAGATACCATATGGCACTGAGCCAAAGGGACCCAATGGCTCTGGGCTGGGACAAGACTGCACAGCAGCTAGAAGCATGGTGCCTGGGGCCGACATGCCCAGATCCACCACCTGCTCCGTAACGAGGGGCAAGCTATTTAAGTCCTCTGTGCCTTGTTCCTGCATCTAAAAATGACGACATGCACCAGGCGAGGTGAAGCACACCTATAATCCCAGCACTTGGGAGGCTGAGGCAGGAGGATCACAAGTTTGAGGCCAGCTTGGGCTACACAGTGAGCTCGAGGCCAACCTGAAGTGCACAGGATAACCTGTCTCAAAAGACAACACGAAAAAGAGGACAATGAGAACATTTACTTCATAGGGCTATTGTGACGAGTGAGTGAACAAGCCAGTACCGTGACGCACTCAGGGCAATCTCTGACGCACATTAAGCACACTACAAGGGTCTAGTTATTCTTCGTCATCCTTCAAAATTCCTCCCCTACCTACTGCAGACTTCCAACTGCAGTAGGACCACAAATCACTTTTCCTGCTCCTCGAAGGTTGAAAACAGGACTTCCCACACTGTACTTTTCACACAGAGTACTGAAATTCCACTGAGAACAAACCTCTGGATCCTAAGAGGATCTGTTACAACCTAAATAAAGAAAAGCACCATTGGATAGCAATTCAAAAAAACTCAAACTACAAATTAATTCATTTGTAGACAAACAGCAAGTTTCTTCTAAACAACTTGGTTGGAATCTGTGGGTGGCTATTCACGTAATCAGAATTGAACGTGAGAAGCAGTGCAGTCCGAGATTAGACCCTCGCATGTCCACTGCTGTGGCAGGTATCTATCAGTAAGGAACACTGGCCAGCACTGTGGGTAAGATTAAGCCCATCCTTAGCACTGCAGGAGGAAGCTGGAGCCCACGACTCACTGTTTTTTGCTGTGGGAGAGTTTTTTTGTCTTTTGTCCCTTGCAACGGGATTCACTCTGCAGTTCAGGCTGGCTTGAACTCACTTTGTAGACTCCTTTTTTTTGGTACCGGAATCAAACTCACAACCTTGCGCTTGCCAGGAAGGCGTTCGTGCCACTGAGCTATATCCCCAGCACCCACTGATTTTTCAACAGTTAACATTTTTTCTGTATTTTGGGCAGCATAACATGACAAAAAGTTAACTTTCAGGATTTTTTTTTACTATAAAAGTAACTAAAACACTTTCATATTTTCAAAACAATACAGATTATTTTTCCTTTAAATAAAACTAGAACTTTCTAAATAGTTAATAAAAATGTTCCTTATTATCACTACCAGTCCTACACGAAGACTCATAGGAGGCTTTGGTTTTCTCTGCTGCTCATGCTGCCTGTATGCCCTATGTTGCCTGTATCCACCCGAAGTTCACAATGCCTTTACCTGTTCTTCCTAGACAGCCGGTTTCATAGCTATCGCCTCTCACCTGTGCGTTGGACACAGCATTTATCCTGGAACAAAACAAAATCATCCAATGAGCTTTTTTGGTATTAAAATATTTATTTAGATGACGGGTATGGTGACTCACACCTGTAATCCCAGCACTTGGGAAGCTGAAGGAAGAGGATTGTGGCAAGTTTGAGACCAGCCTGGGCTACAAAGTGAGTTCAAGGCCAGCCTGAATTGCATAGTGAGACCCTGTCTCAAAAACACAAAATAAATAAGTAAATAAATGCAATAAAATATTTACTTAGAAGGAAAAAGATTACTTCCTTAAAAAGGCCAGGATTTACACATATCTTTTTTAACAAAAATCCTACTGAACAGAAATATTACATTAGTCTTCTTTCCCCTAAAGAACACCCAGAAAACATACCTATTTTAAGAGATTTCTACAGCCAGGCCTAGTGGCACATGCCTGTAATCCCAGCACTTGGGAGGCTGAGACAGGAGAATCATATGAGTTAGAGGCCAGCCTGGGCTACACAGCGAGTTCAAGGCCAGCCTGAACTACATAACAAGATCCTGTCTCAATACCCCCACAAAAAAGGTATTTGTCTAAATTTAACACTCAGTTTTGGTTTAAAAAAAAATGAGAAACCACTTTAAAGATATCAATATGTAATACAACAAGCACTGTTAATTTCCTACCACTTTGATTTTAACTCTGTATTGTCTGTACTGTTCTTTTGCTATTTTGTAAAATGTTGTCTATGTTTTCCTTTTATTTTTAAAATAAAAAATTAAATTAAATTAAAAAATTAAAAAACAGGCATGGTGGTATATGCATACAACCTCAGTTACTCAACAGGCTGAGGCAGCAAAAGTTCCAGACTGGCCTAGCCAATTTAAGGTGACCCTGTCTCAAAATACATAAGTGCTAACGTGCTCGCCTAGTATATATGAGATACCAGATTCAATTGCCAGTGCCAAAAACCCAACCTTAATAAACTGAGAATACAAATGTACAGTGTTTTTTTGGTTTGTTTTTGGTTTTTTTTTTTGATACTGGGAATCGAACTCAGGACCTTGTGCTTGCAGGCAGGCACTTGTGCTGCTGAGCTATATCCCCAGCCCACAAAAGTATAGTGTTAAAGAAGAATCTACTGGCCAGGCGTGGTGGCACACACCTGCAATCCCAGCACTCGAAAAGTTGAGGCAGGAAGATCATTGCAAGTAGATCAGTCGGGACTAACAGAGTGAGTTCAAGGCCAGCCTGAACTGCACAGTGAGACCCTGTCTCAGAAAGACCAAAAGAAAAAAAAAAAAGAAATGATAGATCATTAAGGGGAAAAAAAAATTTTTTTTTTTTTTTGGTCTTTTTTGAGACAGGGTCTTGCTATGCAGTTCAGGCTGGCCTTGAGCTCACTCTGTAGCGCAGGCTGGTCTCAAATTTACAACAATCCTCCTGCCTCAGCCTCCCAAATGCTGGGATTAAAGGCATGCACTACCACGCCTGGCTCAGGAAAAAATATTTTTTAAAAAATCTTGAACTGGGGAGGCTGGGGATTTAGCTCAGCGGCAAAAGCGCCTGCCTGGCAAGCGCAAAGTCGTGAGTTCGGTTCCTGGTACCGGAGAAAAAACCAAAAAAAAAACAACAACAAAAAATCTTGAACTGAGAATTACCTTCATACTTACATGAAGAAAGCCAATGTGGAAAACACGCCACAGGTGTGAAAAGTATGGTTCAACTGTTCTGGTTTAGGATACACCACTGCTGCATCAATCATTATCCACCAACCTGTGAAAAACTGAACAGCCCAAGACATTAAAATGCTAAACTCTTCCTTAGCACAACAGTCTTCTATTCCTGTAAATGAAAAAAAGTATTTCAACTTTTTGAGTTTTGGATACTGAAATACAAAATAAAAATCCCTTGTTTACTTGTTTTATTGCAGATGAATCCAAGTGGGGTAAGATTTGGAAATTTGCTCTCAGTGCAAGACAAAACCATACCTGTATTTAGGAATGGCTTCTTTGCTTCTACCATCCCGCATAATTAGACGCAGGGGAAGCTCTCCTAACTAACCTCCAACAGAAGCAGCTCCCTTATTACCTGAAGCGTGTCTTCTCTCTAGTCAACGTTTCTAATATCCCGCAAGCACTTTTGTTCCCACAAGTAAGATGCATGCTTGCCAAGGGTCAGTTGTCATATCTCCAAAACTTTTTCCCCACTTTTTAAAACAGGGTTTTCTTAAACAGTACAGGCTGGCTTTGCACTCACTTTGTAGCCAAGGGTGGCCTCCAAATTGCAGTGATCCTCCTGCCTCAGCCTCTCAAGTGCTGGAATTACAGGCCTGCGTCACCATACCCAGTCTTCCAAAACTATTTTAGACTGCTATTATCTTAGTGATGTCACTTAATACTGTATAACAAACTGAACATAAGTTTGTTCAAGGCCCAAGGCCTTGAGCTCAAGGCCAGCCTGAACATAACATTTATAAAATGTTAAACTAACAAACTAAACAGTTCCATATAAATGCAACAGATATAAAGCAGACAAGTTGCTTCAGAATTTCTCATTTAATTTATGCAAGTGATGATTTTCCACTAAAGTCCTGACAGAACAGGGAAATGATATAATCCTCATATTTATATTTTTTTTAGCAAATGTTAACATTTTTAATCTAGCTAAATCCTTTGGTGAAGTATCTAAAATGTACCAATAAAATCTGGTTTTAAAAAAAAAGAAAAACCCTTTGGTTGTCGTTTGTACACCACAGGCCTTGAGGAGCATACAGGTAGGGCTGTGTGGTCCAGACACCAACAAACTCTCCCCTCCTTCAGCCACCAACCAAGGGCCACTGAGATCAGAGTGTCGGGATCCCTCTGCTCCCTTATACCCACTTTGCCCTTTATGGCTGGAGTCTACAATCACCCCCAAAAGACTCACTGTGAAGACCTGATCACCAACACAGCAGTGTTCGGAGATGGGGCCTACTACATAGGCGACTGCACCACGAGGGCATTAACCTCGTTGATGGATGAAAGGATGCGTTCAGGCTGAATGGACTATCAGTAGGTAGGCCTGTGAAGGGACTAGGCATAGGGGACATGGCTTAAAGATGTAGTAGGACCCTGGCCCCTTCCTCTAGCTCCCTCTTTCACAGTCTGTCACCCTGGGCTTCCTGGCTCCCATGAGGTGAGCAGTTTTCCTCCGCCGCACCCTTCCACCACGATGTTTCTGCCTTGCACAAGCCTAGAGCAAGGGAGCTGTGCGACCACGGGCCGAAACTTCTGAAACTATGAGCCAAAACAAACCTGTCCTCCTCTAAGCGCTTGTCTCAGGTATCCTCTCAGTGATGAAACCTGGCTGAACAGGCGCCCCAGAGCAGCATAACACAGGGAAGAGACACTGCCCTGGGCAGGGAACGGAGTGGCCCTGTGGAGGCCTCCTGCTGAGGCAACAGACTTATCAGCACAGTAAGACGGCAGGGGGCAGGGAACAAGGAGAGAGAAGCCCAACCATCTCGTGCTTGGCCGAGGCACTGCCCACACGCCTTGCTGGAGGCCGGAGTATTTAGGATCCTCACTCAACTCTGCATTCTGAGCTTAGGACAGTGCGCCTGCTACAGCACATCAGGTTGAACAGCCTGGCTCTCCAGAGCCTTTCAAATTGTTAAAAACCACGCATGAAAAGTTTTCAAACTCTGTGAAGTGAAATAACTGATAAACCTGAAAATGATTTAACATAAAACAGCTATTTCAGGTCAATCCTGCTCTCCACCCAAATATTAATGAACACCGTCAAGGAGCACGTTAAAAAAGGAAAAGGAAAAAAACATCTAAAAGAATTCTGCATTCAGATTTCTTCACAGTTATCTTTAGTTCCTAGATTGCCCTACTTTGTTTCTTGTTTTCCATTTGACTTTGGTTACAGAACTATACATTGAAAGAAAGGTATTTCAAAAATCGTAAAAGATGTTGAAGTCTATTTTAAAACATGCAGTGACTAGCTGGCCGTGGTGGTGCACACCTGTAATCCCAGCACTCTGTGAGGCTGAGACAGGAGCATCTTTGCGAGTTTGAGACCAGCCCCAGCTACAAAGTGAGCTCAAAGCTAGCCTGAACTGCAAAACGAAACCCTGTCTCAAAAAGACAAAAACAAAAACAACAACATGCAGTGAGAAACAGGGAGAGGTTAACAGCATGATAAGGTAAGACTGGTTGTGATTTGTTTTTGCTTTGTTCTGTTTTTTGAAGCCGGATGGTAAGTTTAAGGGGAGAAAGGATCTTCTTTTTTGAGACAGGGTCTCACAGTTCAGGCTGCCTCAAACTCTCAGGGATCCTTCTGCCTCAGCCTCCCAAATACTGGGATTACAGGCCCGCGCCACCGTGCCCAGCCAAGAGATGATCTTTATATCATTTTCTATTTTTATTTATATTAACATTCTCAATAAGAAAACATTTTTTTGTCATTGTTGTTTGTTTTTCTCTTTTTGAGACAGGGTCTTGCTATGCAGTTCAGGCTAGCCTTGAGCTCACTTTGTAGTCCAGGCTGGCCCCGAAATCCCAATGATCCTGCCTCAGCCTCCCAAGGGCTGGTATTACAGGCATGCACTACCATGCCCAGCAAGAAAATATTTTTAAAAAGGAAAAAAACAATGAAAGAAAATTAAAGGTATAGTGATGCACACCTTCAATCCCAGCACTCAGGAGGCTGAGGCAGGAGGATCACCGTGAGTTCAAAGCCACCTTGAACTGCATCGTGAAAACCTGTCTCAAAAAGACAAAATCTCCCCAACAAATTTTTTCTTCTTCCATTCCCTGTACTGTAGTGAAGGAAACTGTTACAGCAATTTTCGCTCATTAGAGGTGAAGAAACTAAGCAGCACTCAGAGAAGTGGAGGGAACCAAAGTTTATTATGCTGGAGGGCCCAGAGGAGTTCAGCACCCCAAAGCCTGAGCCCCAAGCACACGTATGCAGGCCTTATACACGGCCTCTTGGGGAGGAGGGCAAGTTAAGGTACAGAAGCAGAACAAAGGCAGTTACTCAAAGGTGACAGGTTTACAACTCTGCACGTCTAGGTGGCCTGGCAGGCTGGGGAGGGAGATAACAGGATGTACTGAAGCCATCTGAAGTTACCATACTGAAGTACAGACGGTACAGAAGGGTGCAGCTGGTATGGGAAAGGGAAGAAAGGAGGGTGCAGTCAGGAACATCCAGGTTGAAAAGTTCAGTTTTCCTCAGCAAATCCACAATTCTACGGTCTCCCCAGAACAACTGCAGAGCTTCCATTCTAATGAAGCCTACGGTGCTTGTGCTTTCTACACATCCTGTCAGGGAGTCACAATACCTCTGTGTTACATTAAATTCTGATCTTTTGAGAATATTAAAGTGTACATATATTGTACTGTTAAGTTAAAAATCATAATATGCCATCACTAGAACTGAAGAAAAAGTAGTAAATTTCACAAATTTATCAAAACAAACCCAGGGCCCTGTTGTGCAGTAACAGTACCTAGAATCTTGACAATCACCTACTGAAAACATCAGGGGAAGCCAGGCGTGGTGGCACACGCCTGTAATCCCAGCACTTGGGAGGCTGAGGCAAGAGGATCGCTGCGAGTTTGAAACCAGCCTGGGCTACAAAGTAAGCTCAAGGTCAGCCTGAACTGCATAGCGAGACCCTGTCTCAAAAAGAGAAGAAGAAAAAAAAAAATCAGGGAAAAAGCTGGAAGGGTTTTCACAGTTCAAAGGGATCAACACTAATTTCCAGAGCAATACATGAGACATAAATGTCACCAACTGGGCTTTCTCACTTACCAATATGCCTGCGACCACGGAAGCCACGGCATTTCTTCTCTCACTCCAGTCAATACATTCACATTCTGGCCATCGGAAATTATCGAGGAAGCCTGCCATTTTTATTGCTTAAACTTGGATTTTTCATTAAATACTGTATCCTACAAACAAAACAAAAAGTAATCAAACTAAGGAAATGTTTTTTAAGAAGTGAAATATCTAGCTGGGCATGGTGGTGAACACTTGTAATCCCAGCACTCAGAGGCTTAGGCAGAAGGATCGCTGCTAGTTCAAGTCCAGCCTGGGCTCCAAAGTGAGTTCAAGGCCAGCCTCAACTGCACAGTGAAACCCTGTCTCAAAAAGACAAGACCATTTTGTGCTACACCGTGAGTTCAAAGCCAATTTGCACGAGAGAGTAAGACTCCATTTCAAAAGGAAAAAAAAAGTTTAGGCCCAACCTGGGTAATTTAATGACTAGCAAGATGTTGTGCCAAAATTATATATGTTTTTTCTTTTCGTCTTTTTTGAGACAGGGTCTCGCTATGCAGCTCAGACTGGCCTTGAGCTCACTTTGTAGCCCAGGCTGGCCTCAAACTTGCAACGATCCTCCTGCCTCAGCCTCCCAAGTGCTGGGATTACAGGTGTGCGTCACCATGCCTGGCATAAAATACATTTTTAAAGGACTGAGGATGTAGCTCAGTATGAAGGAAATGAAATCTTTTTTGTAATACTGGGGATCAAACCTAGGGGCACTTTATCACTGAGCTACATCCCCAAACCCCTTTTTTAAAAATTTCACAGGGTCTTGCTACATTGCCCAAAGGAAAGTTGTAATCCTTCTGTCTCAGTCTCCTGAGGAATTACAGACATGTGCCACCATACACGCTTCTTGTTCCTTTCTTAAAGCCTTAAACTACTTTAGGTCCCATTCCACTATAATTAAGAAAAAAGTAGTATTTCAATCAGTAAGTACCTACTGAGATATATACAGGACTGTGCTCAGACACAAGGGGGAGCTGCTATTTGCTAAATGAACCCTGGGTTTTCACACCTGTCTGTAGCGGTTAGAAGAGCAGCTCAGTGGTAGAGCACATCCAACCACAAGACCTAGAAGTTAATTTCCTGCACCACTGAAAAACATCCTTGCTGAGCGTGGTGGCGCAGGGCTGTAATCCCCGCACTCGGGAAGCTGAGGCAGGGGGATGGTTGCAAGTTTGAGACCAGCCTGGGCTACAAAGTGAACGTACGGCCAGCCTGAACTGCATAGAGACCCTGTCTCAAAACAACAACAGCAACAAAAAAATTCCTTAACTCTTTTCCCACTGCCAGGTGGAACTATGTCCTACTACTTAAATTTGAGTCAACAAGAAAGACTGGTTGGCCAAAACAGAGGAAACAATGCTATGTAACTTCTGCCATGCAGCTTCCAAGATTAGGTCATAGAAGGCAATGCAGCATCTGCCTGGTTATCTGGAACACTAATTCTAAAGTCCTGAGTCACCACGCAGAAATCCAAGGGTGCCATTCTGTGAGGAGACCACATATAGGTGTTTTGGCCCACAGCTCAGTTGTGGTCCCAGCCAAGAGCTACCACCAACTGTCAATGTGTGAGTAAAGACACTTCTGGGTGACACTGTCCTCGCCAGGGCATCAGTCCCACACTTTGAGCTCTCCTGGGTGAGACGCCAAGTGTATGAAGCAGAGACACATCATTTTGGCTGTGCCTTTACCAAATTCCTGACCCACAGAATCCAGTAAACATAATGATTGTTGCAAGTCACTAATTAAATCTATAATGTAGCAACATGTTAAGAAAGTACAGAAATGAGAGAAATAATGCCAATGAAGAATGACATGGCCAGGTGTGGGCGAACATGTCTGAAAAAAAAAGAATGATTAAAGGGTGGCATATAAGGGGAACTTTTTAAAACAAAGACATTACATCCAAATGGGTGATTTAGAGCCACCATAAATTCTTAAAAAATAACAAATACAAAAACTGTTTAAAAATGCTAAGGAGTAGTAAAAAGCAAGCAGAATCTGGAAAGGATTTGATTCTTAAAAGGAAGAAAATACAATGAATATGACCCATCTTTTTATTTATTTTATTTTATTTATTTATTTATTTTGGAGACAGGGTTTTTTTGCTTTGTAATTGAAGCTGGCCTTGAACTCACTATGTAACCAAGCTGGCCTCAAACTCACGGTGATTTCCTGCCTCAGCCTCCAAAGTGCTAGGATTACAGGCATGTACCACCATGCCTAGCAGGACCCAATTCTGCACAGTTTTCTCCCACTTCCAACCACAGGGAACCCTGGCGGCCCGAAGTGGCTAAAACTCAACCAAAACTTCAGTCTTACTGGCCTCAGATAGCAGAGGATGGGGCAGCTCTGCAATCAGAGGTGAAATCATGGCTGGGAGTGGGTCACAAGAAAAAACCCCAAATACTTTCAATGTCCTTTCAATTCCTGGCTCACCCCAGAAAGCAGGTGCACGGAGAAAACTCTAGAAAAGCCAGGAAAAATGGGTGAGGGGGGAACAGCTGGAAGGCAGCGAAGAGATTTCAACTGCTGCCCAACACAAGGGAGACATTTTGATGGCTGAGTTCTTCCAAGGCAAAGGGGACTTTCCAGACATACTCTAACAAGTGCAAAACCAAGTCTCACAATGTCAAGGTGATTGGTCAATATTTTAACCACCTCTTAAAACAAAAGACAACATGGGAACATTTGATCAAGATACTCTGGAGATATGTTTATGAACTGTTAATGAAAGATTAGATATTAACTGGTTAAAAGCAAGCATAAGGAAAGTCACTATGAATTTAAGATAATGCTTCAAGGTTAAAACAGAGAAAATCATTTCCCATATGAAGCTCATTGTAAAACTCATTTCCTATATACTAACCTATTATAACTTTTTTTTTTTTTTTTTTTGGTACTGGGAACTGAACTCAGGACCTTGCAATTGCTAGGCAGGTGCTTGTGCCGCTGAGCTACATCCCCAGCCCCTATAACTAGTTCTATAAGCAGAAAATATATAGCTTTGCCACACACTGATTTATGAAATAAATTGAGGTCTCCCTCTTTCAGGGCTTCAGTTGGGTAGGTCAAGGACAGCTTGGGGCAAAGGAACACTGTAATAAATTTATATAACTTGAGGTGAGTTCTGAAGCATGAACTGTCAGGTAACAAAGAAATAAAATATGCAGAATTATGAGCCTAGAAGGATGTAGGGTATTTTAGAGAATGATAATGATCGAAACCTGTTTAGAACAGGGTCATGAATGATTTTTTTTTTAGCTTACTCAAGTGTGAACTCTATCCTCTACGCACTTGAGTAGCAAACCTTTGCTGAAAAGAACCAGAGTATACACTTCAGGTTGTGGGCCATACAATCCTTTTCACAACTATTCAACTCAGCTGTGCAGTATGAAAGCAGCCATATGCAAAACATGAACAAACAGGCATGGCTATGTTCCAATAGAATTTGTAGCTACAGAACAGGCAGAAGGCCAGAGTTGCCCACTGGTTATAGTTTACCAAACCTTGCCCTAAGCAACAGGAAACCACCAGAGGTTTGCAAGCCAGAAAGTAACAGGATGGGACCTGTAATTTATAAAGAGAATTCTGCCGGGCAGCAGTGTGGAAGAGGAACCAAAGAGGAATTTTTTTTTTTTGGTACTGGGAATCGAACTCAGGACCTTGAGCTTGCCAGGCAGGCACGTGTGCAGCCAAAGAGGAATTTTAAAGAGACATTTGTCATTATTCTACACAGAGAATAAGGGTGTGAGCCAAGGCTGAAGTATAAAGCAAAGAAAAGGGTTTCTAACTGAGAAATATTAAAACGGTATTAGCAGTAGATAGGAAGGAGTCAAGAACGGCCATCAGGCTTCTTGGTTGGGTGCCCACTGGCTAGCGAGGGAGCACAGATCAAAACACAGCCTGCTAAAAGGGAGACTGGGAGTGCAGAGTCAGCTTGGGCGTATACATTCGACATGCCTGAGGGACATGCAGGTGAAGAGATCCTGAACACAACCAGAGTCCCAAAGAGTGGTCTAACACAGAGACGTACATTAGAGGTTCTCAGTAACCAAGTGGTACCTGAAGCCATGGGGGAGGCTAACGTATCTCAAGGAGAAAGTGTGAAAGAAGCCTCAGAATAAAATCAGTGTCCCTCTCTATTTGCCGTCCCCCTTGGACTACTGTGTGCCTGACCGCAGAGCACACCGACAACTACAGGTCACATCCACACCTGTAAAGCAGCACAACTTCTCTAGAGCAGGTTAAGGCCTTCTGTGAGCAAGGCACTGGGGAGAAAACAAAGATTAATGAAGCTTAGGCTTCATGAGGGTCCACATTAGTACAAAAATCAGCTAACTCTTTTTAAAATTAAATCATGAGCTGGGCATAATGACATACATCTGTAAATCCTAGCACTCTGAGAGACTAAGACAAAAGCATCACAAATTCAGGGCCAGCCTGGGCAATTCAGTACCTTAGAGATATCCTATCTAAAATAAAAAATGAAAAAGGGCTGGATATGTATGACAGCTCAGTGCAAAAGCCCTGGCTTCGAGGCCAGTACTGCAAAAAACAGTTAATTACAATGTCTATCACTTAAAATCTGTTGTAAAACAGTACCTTAACAAACTGCAAAATAAAATATCAACATCATTCGAGACAATAGGTCTTGCTTGCCAGAGCAAAAACACCTGACTCAGACAAAATAAAAATAGACTCTAGTTCTTCCTTCCCCATTACTACTGCTCCCACCAGCACTAGCTGTTACAGGTTACTTATAGATGCTAGGCTCTTACAGACCACTCCAACTCTCACTGTTTCCAGAAACCACTTCTTTCGATCTTCACAAACATGCTAAGGCAGCTGCTACTATGATCTTCCTGTCAGTGAAAAGGTTAACTTGCCAAGGTCATATAGCCAGCACGCAGGAAAACCACTTCACATCTGATTCCAAAATCTCTTTCTCAGCCATGACACTGTTGCTGCTCATCACGACCCACAGCTCTGTCACACTTCTTTCATTTTCAGAGCTCATGAGGAGAAAGTTATGCTCAGGCTGTGGTGAAGACTGAAGAACAAAAATAAGATAAACAGCCCTGATTTAGAGGACACTCAGCATATGGGAAGAGGAGAAAGC